CGGGGTCAAACAGCAAAGTTACCACAGCATCACAACCAAGTCAGTAACGGGTAAATCCTCCTCTGTTTGCCAAACAAGCATTGATCCGACGTGGCATACTCCTAATGAGACGTCTAAGGTTATTTTGGTCCAGATTGTCCCATTCCTGTTGCAACGCAGCAGCAAGTTCTTGGACATTGGCAGGACGTTGTTGACGTTGACGTAACCTCTGTCCAAGAATGTCCCAGACATGCTCGATGGGGGAGAGGTCGGGACTCAGTGCTGGCTAAGGTAATGTGGTGATGTTCTGTTGTTGGAGGTAACCTGTAATGATCCTGGCCCTGTGACATCTTGTGTTGTCATCCTGGAAGATGAAACGGCGGCCATGACGTCGTGCGAACGGCACAACATGGACTGCCAAGATGTTGTCCCGGTAGTACTGGCCTGTAACACGCCCTGCAACAACATGTAAAGCCGTTCTTCCAGCAACAGTGATGCCTCCCCACACCATAACAGAACCACCCCCAAATCGATCATGTCTGATGACGTTAACGTCTTGGAAGCGCTCGTTTCGACGACGCCACACCCTCCTACGTCTGTCCAAAAAATCAACAGTGAACCTCGACTCATCTGAAAACATCACATTGCTCCAGCGTCGATTATCCCAGTGTTGACGATCCCTACACCAACGACGTCTTGCCTGAATGTGATGATCTCTCAAACAAGGGATCACGCGAGGACGTCGGGCGCGAAGGTGACCCCTATGCAGTTGATTCCGAATCGTCTGGCCACTCACTCTCACACCAGTGTCTGTTTGAAGACGAGCGCTGATCTGATTTGCTGTGATGACACGATTTCTCAAGGCCAAGGTACGGATAAATCGATCCTGGGCTTGAGTTGTCGCCCTTGGTCGACCTGAGCGTGGTCTGTCCTGTACAGATTGTGTATCACGGTATCTGGACCATAGCCTGCTTATGACAGACTGAGAAACATTCATCGTCCACGCCACAACTGCCTGTGTTGTGCCGATCTGTAGCATGTCAAGGGCAGGTAACCTTTCATTTTGGGTAAGCCGACGCATATCAAAATTTGTTTTCTGGTCACTAAAACAATTAAACTGATGTTTCCACCCTGGAATTCAATGCCACAATGACTGTAACATTCAAAGTCAGAGTTGTGCAAATCTTGGGTTGGACCCCCATGCGGTAGCTATTGGTGCGTTTGGGCGTCACATGTAACTGGAAATGTTTCTTCTGTTAGGTTCTATAGTGACTTTTTTCGTAGTCATTTGCATATTTTAGTATTATGCCCCCAAAATCAAATATCCCCTACTTTTTTTGAATAGTATAAACATGAGAGGTTTTTCTTTTGGTATAATACCATTAAAATTTTCTTGAATGAATAATCACAGCTTTTCCTTTTTATGTCATGTAAAACTTTAGTATGAATGTGCAACAATTGTGGGTTGTTCAGCATAAGTTTTAAGAGACAATTGTAAAATAGGGAAGAGAACATGTCTGAGGAGTGTAAAATGTAAAACTTGTGAATGATTGTAATTTATTTTGAAAATGGTTGTTGTTAAAGAATATTATTTTTACTTGAAACTTATTCACTTTTGTTCAGTGGCGTACAGGAGTAAAACAGCGCCCCTGTCTAAACATTTGACACTATTTGAGAAATGAAATGAAAAGGGGTTTTAATGTCCTACTGTTCTGCTCCGACTGGGTTAATAAAGACGGGCATACGCCATACAGCAACGCTACGGCCTACTCTTATATTGAATTCCAAATGCCAAGGGATCTTTTACATGCATTCTAATGTGTACACAGGACCTTGGTTTTTCATTCCATCCAAAAGACTAGACAGCTGTCCTTGTCAGGACCTCCGTCCTGCATCACTGACAAAGGGAAACTACACAGGAAAATCTCGATTACTTGCTCAGCCAAGAGCGGGAGCGAACCAGCGACCTGCAGGCTAGCGAGCCTGCGTCTTACCCACTTAGCCATCGTGGCTCCCACCATTTTAGAGAACTTTACCATAAGATCAGCTTAAAAATACAAGTCCATTTCGTTATTCTTTTAACTAAAAAATTGTGGCACAACACAAAAATTACAATTGCACCTTTCTTGGCTTGCTTTGACTGATGCAAATTGGTCTGTAATGTCAGACTTTGCACAAAATTCTAGACTTTTTAATTACCTAACTGACACAGGAGAAGAGTCTTACTGCCAGTACATCTCAGTGGCACCCTGTTAAGGTGATGCCTTGGAGATGTGTCCTACTTGCCATGCCATATATACGCCACAGCATGTATTTTTACAGTTTTATTGAAGAAGTATTGTGTTTGATTTTTAAAAAGATCTGACCAGTCTTGATGTAATATATATGTAGTTCAACAAGCCAAGAGTGAGGCTGATGTCCCCCGCCGAAATCCCGAAATAAATAGATGACACATATTAATTGCACGTTTATAATTTTCAAAAGTATCAGCAAACAAACTGATTATCAACTATACACTAAGTTTCATCACTCTCTATCAGACAGAATCAAAGTCAAAGAAATTGCTTAGCTCTGCTTAGCTTTAGCGGAAAATGTTAATCATTGAACTCAGTCAAGACATTCACCTAATGAACATCAACATCAAGTTTAAACATTCTACCTCGATTAAAAGCAGAGTTGATATGTTCCAAAACCAATCAAATTGCTTATCGCTCTTTAGCCTATGCAGAAAATTTTCATTAAACTTAGTCAAGGTAATGATATAATGAATCTATACTCAGAGTTTCACAGCTCTCACTTAATTATAACCAAAGTTATCTCTTTCCAAAGTCTCAACCAATCAAATTATTATTATCTGTGCTAAGCCTTAGTGGAAAATTTTAAACACAATGTAGTCAATATTGTTTTATCTAAAAATTAACAGAGAGAGAGAGAGAAATGGGGTTTAACGTCCACTCGACACAAACTAGGTCATTTCGGGACTAACACATGGTTCAATTTTATTTCAATAATTCGCATGGGCGTAGGGGTCTTTAGCAGTGGGAGGAAACCGGAGGACCCGGAGAAAACCCACGAGGTTGGACAGGCAACCCTACTCCTTGTCACGTACAACCGGGGAATCGAAACCCCGCCAGTTAACTCAATGACAGACCGTATGATACAGCGCGCGCGTGCTAACCATTCGGTCACCCACCCCCCCTCTAAAAATTAACAGACACAACTCAACTCATACACAAATTGTCTTAAAATTGTCTTGTGGGTTTTTTTTGCGTTTTGTGGACGTTTAATTTCTTTGCCTTGCATGGTAGTATTGGTACTGAATAATCAATCCCACAGTGTAACTTTAGTGGTATCATCAGCATTACTTTTTGTATGTCAATTAGGGCCAGTAAGAAAATTTTGAAAATAAACGCTACCCTTTTTTTTAGTTTTTTCTCGGAATATCGACAAGCGATTGCCATGCAAGATACGCCCATATTATGCAACAGATGGACAAAGACCAAACTCAAAAAAAGGAAGCAATGGTCCAATATGCATGAATATCTACAGGAACCGAGACCTTTGGGATATAAACATATATTTGGAGTTTCATAAAATCAGATAAAGATAGCTTGCCAGTTAACAAAACATACGCCCACAGCAGCTAAGTCGTCCAGGCCGTCAACACATTTTATCTTTTGTCAGTAATGAAAACATTTGATTGTAAATGTGTAATAACCCATTAAGTAGTTATCAGAAATCAATAGAATTGTTTCGATTGTTTGTATAATGACCTTAAAAAATCTATATTAACTTTAGCCTCTAGAGTATCCACAAGATTTTTCAAAGTGATCAAGGGTCATAACTCTGGCAGTAATTATATGTAATCGATGAAAATGAATAGGATTCGTGGTCTCATGACCTTAACCACTGTGTGTGCATAAATCTAAAATCAATCGGATATTAACTTTAGCCTCTAGAGGTTTCAAAGATTTTTCAAAGAAGTCAAGGGCCATAACTCTGACAGTAGTAATCGGAAATAAAAGAAAATAGGCTTCTTCGTCTCATGACCTTAAACAGTGTGTATAAATTTAAGGTCAATCTGATATTAACTTTAGCCTCTAGAGTGTCCACAATATATTTCAAAGTCATCAAGGGCCATAACTTCCTCTCATGACCTTGTGTATAAATTTAAAGTCAATCTGATATTAACTTTAGCCTCTGAGTGCCAACAAGATATTTCAAAGTCATCAAGGGCTATTTATCCAGCAGTAATTATCGGAAATTATTGAAAACGACTAGATTCCTTCGTCTCATGAGCTTGATCACTGTATATAATTTTAAGTCAATCAGATATTAAACTTTAGCCACGAGAGCGTCCACAAGATGTTTTAACGAAGTCAAGGGCCATAACTCTGGCAGTAATTATTGGAAATTGCTGTAAAATGCCTAGGATCCTCCATCTCATGACCTTAAACACACATCCACAAGATATTTCAAAATGATCAAGAGACATCTAGGGGATATGTTTATTCAAAATACCGGTACCTGTTGTTTTGGATAATTAATGTTGTTTTGGGTACATCTATGAACCATCAATTTCAATTTACTTTATTCTGAGTGAAGTTATGAATTGGAAATAGATACTTTTATCTGGTTTCAGACAGGGGATGCATTTAAATTTATGATGAACTTTACACATCACCTATGTATGACAACAGTGTTGTTGGTGCTGTATTTGTTGATTTATGAATTTGATCAATTGGACAATTGAAAACAGTTGTATGATTTGTAATTTTAGAGTACAAAAACGAAATTTTGTTGTGTCACTAATCGTGTGTTCGGCATGGCCTAAGAGACCCATGAGAAGTTCGATCTCTCACCAGTCCCCCCTCTCTACTTTCCCTTTCTCTTTTTATTGACTTATTGAAAATGGATCATTTCACCTTCCACGACTTTGCTTTTCACGTGTTCAGTGCCTGAGAATTTCTTATGATAAAAATCCACCTCTGTCTTATTTTTAACCAATGATAAAACAGGTCGATAGTGTACACGACTGATATTATTATTCTCGTGCCAAATATACGGCCTTGACTTTGGGATAATCATCACGTCTTCGCCAATGCCATGAACATGAAGAGCAAGCAGGATGAGCTTAAATGCCGTAGTAAAATTTGTGACAGGAGAAATATCTCAACAATCTTAGAAATAATTTGTTCAATATATCATATCCTCAGTCAGTAATGAAACTATCCATTCATTTATTCTTTTAGAAAAGACGCGTTGTAAAATAAATCGACCATAACAACAGGTCAAAGCAAAGCAACTTACCTCACATTTTATGCCACACACGCTTGATAGTGAGTATGCGCGTGCGCAAGTGGCCAATTCGTGTTATCGGATAATGGAAAAATTAATGGATTAGGCCCAACGGACATTGCTAATTCGAAAAAATGATGTTGTTCCTTAATCTCTTATTTTCTGGCATATGTTCCACATTATTGAACGCGTAAGGAAAGTGACAGGTGGCCAAACGGGTAATTGTGCTACTTTCGGTTTGTTTGAATAATGACGTAACAAACAGTACTACTAGTACTATCACTGTGAAGGAAAGCCGAAGGTAGCACGATTAACCCAAATCTAGCCAAATTCACTCAAATCCACCATTATGTCAACTCATATAATAGAGAGAGAGAAATGGGGTTTAACGTCCACTCTACACAATTCTAGGTCATTTCGGGGCTAACACATGGTTTAATTTTATTTCAATAATTCGCTTGCGCGTAGGGGTCTATAGCAGTGGGAGGAAACCGCGAGGACCCGGAGAAAACCCACGAAGTTGGACAGGCGACCCTACTCCAACTCATAGTCATATAATAATAATTTATATCTATCTTTAATAATATACTGTTTATGCGAAATTGTCATTTTTGATTTAAAATTTGAACAAAATCTCTTAATTTATTGAAACCTGTAGAGAATTTTTATAGACAAAAAAATAACAAAAAAGTGGGTGTGGTACCACACCCCTGGGGGCCGTGACATGCCCCAATATAAATAGTTATTATCCTTACAATTGAGTGGACATCAGACTCTTTCTCTCTATTGCCCCCTTTCTTCCAACTCTCTCAGACCAATTCCTTGATTGTAGGCTATGCCAACAAGACTAAAGTATAGGACATAGTACTGATCAGTTTTGAAATGTGAGAAAGGGAGATATTTTAAATGTCCAAAACAAATATAATTTCAAATTTCGAACACACATTTAAAATTAAAATGTAATTTCAGTATTTGATTGAACCATCATGTCAGTTCCGAAATTACCTCCTCTCTCTCTCTCTCTCTCTCTCTCATCTATCTTCTCTTTTCTGTTTCCTCTCTATCCTCATTCATCTCCCTTTCTCTTCTCTATTACCCCGCCCCCAGCTGCTCCCCCACTTTCAACTCCAGGCTCAATTGTCATGGTTAAATAAATTATTTGAAGTAATCAAGCCTAAGTATCCTAGTGTCAATAGCCACTATTATTATTATTTCAGTGAATATGAAAACATGGTCGGGAGCAGCAAGAGCACGGCAAGAAATATTGAATGTGAAATGTGCATCTGAAATTATACTGTTTTAAATTGATGGAATTGGACCCCATGTGAACAGAGGAATGAACATATACATGTATTTCAACCAATAATCGAATTTTTAAAAAATGATTCAAAAATATTTTATTTACCCCAAGTTGTCACAAATGTTGTTAGACTCCAGTGAAATTGCTTTCATGTTAAAATCATAAAGAATAAAAAACGTGATTTACAAACATTTTGTTTTACCCAAAACCAGTTTTTACTGCATTTTGAAATTGGGGGCCCCCGACTGTGAAACACCCAATATTACATATAGACTAGTGTGCTACTGTTTCACGAATTTAAACGAGAGGTCAAACAAATCCCAATCCATAACACAACTGTAAACCACTTGTCAGTCTGTCACACAGTCAACAGTGACTTTTACCTTATATCAAGGTACATTTACCAGTTAGACTGATCAGCTATGTTTCCATATTGAGAGAAAGTGAAATGGGGTTTAACGTCCACTCGACACAAACTAGGTCATTTCGGGACTAACATATGGTTTTTAATTTTATTTCAATAATTAGCTTGCGCGTAAGGGTCTTTAGCAGTGGGAGGAAACCGGAGGACCCGGAGAAAACCCACGAGATTAGACAGGCGACCCTACTCCTTGTCACGTACAACCGGGGATTCGAAACAGCACGCACGTGCTAACCATTCTGCCATCCAATCCCCCGTTTCCATATTGATTTACATGGTTAATTATTAGTAATATTTACTGCTGATAATTATCTGTCTTTGTCCGGATGGGGGGGGGGGGGGCCGAATGGTTAGCACGTGCGTGCTGTATCATAAGACATGTCATTGAGTCAACTGGCGTGGTTTCGAATCCCCGGTTGTACGTGACAAGGAGTAGGGTCGCCTGTCCAGCCTCGTGGGTTTTCTCCGGGTCCTCCAGTTTCCTCCCACTGCTAAAGACCCCTACGCGCTAGCGAATTATTGAAATAAAATTTTAAAAAACATGTTAGACCCGAAATGACCTAGTTTTTGTCGAGTGAACGTTAAACCTCTCTCTCTTGTCCGGATACGGTGGAGGTCTAGTTGTTTAATGTGTAACGCTTCGAGTTCTTGCAGGTCCGTCACCTCTTGCTTGGGGGCAACGAGTTGATCCCAGGTAAGGGTGTATGAGGCTTTGCGATAGGCACCCCTTCGCAACATCGTGGGTTTCCTCCTGGTTTCCACTACAGCAAAGACCCTTGCCCAGAATTTAATAAAAAAAAAAGGTACCATATAGAATTGTCCCAAAATGACACGGTTGGTGCTAAGTGGACATAAAACCCATTTGATTTTATTTCGGTTGTAGTCCTACTTACTGAAATGTATATACTATAGGATCAGGTTCTGTCGCTCGGTGTCTTGTGTTTTATTCTCTTTTTCACCATGAGCCCCCTGCATGGTCCGTCATAATTTGAACATTATGAAAGTTAACTGTACTGTTATTAACTGGCTTCTGTTCCTTCACACTTTCGTCGAATTGGACCGAGTAGTGATACAATGACTGAGGCTGTGTCCAGATTTTTTAGTCAAATTAAATTTATATTTGTCTTAAAGGGAAACAAATTTTAGCGTACTGTAATGTAGGCTAATTGCAGCCCTGTCACACTTCAAACTTAATTTAGCTTGAACTAGAAATGGTTCCACTACTGATGTCTTCCGCCTTACTCCAGCCACAGTAGTAGCTCGTCCTACGGAGTTCCTTTGCGCAAGTTTTTTAGTCAAATGACTACAAAAAGTTTACTAGCCTATAGCCCCCTTAATTTACACATAAACTGACCCCAAACTGTTCTGCATATAGCTTAACATATAATAAACCAATTCCCATTGAAATAAAGGTGAAGTCTTACCGCATAATTATATGATTTGATGAAACCCAACTGTTACGCGAAATTTGGAAAGATTTCATTTGGCTGGCGGCTTACATTAAAATAAATGTCGCTTTGAAAATGTAGAACGCATATTACAATTATCACAAAGAAAAACTGTTCAATAACTATTTTAGTGGTTCAGTCTTCACTATTTGTGATAGAATTACTTATTTCAATACAAACTGTAATGATATGTGTTGACAATCGTGCGTTTGAATCTATTTGTACTTGCGTAAGGAGTGTTAGACTGTATCAATTGTAGCGTTAAACACAGTTTAATGGTACGACATTGTAGCTAAGCTTGAACGTGCTCAGGGGGGGGGGGGGCTAGTGGTCTAGAGTGCCGCGCTTCGACCTCTGGCTGGCCGGCCACCTCTGGCTTGCGGCTGTGGTTTCGAGCCCTGGTGTGAGCGTATGTGGCATGGAGATAGGGAGGCTTCTCAACCACGTGGGTTTCCTCCGGGCACTCCGGTTTCCTCCCACTGCTAAAAACCTCTACGCGCAAGCGAATTATTGAAATAAAATTAAACCATATGTTAGTCCCGAAATGACCTAGTTGTGTCGAGTGGACGTTAAACCCCATTTCTCTCTCTCTCTGAACGTGCTCAGTTCCAACAGTGTGTGTGAATTAGTTATGTACTTCGTTATGAGGAAACCTTCGGTGCCAACAGTTTATTAAATTCTGTGGTGTGTGAACTGAATATACGTCTTTATCGGGACCGTCCTGACAACCATATGTACGTCGTTATACGCACGCCCCAATAGTCCATAAAACATAGGTGTGTAAAGTGTGTAAAATTAAATAAAAGTAATTATCAGGACGCCCCAGAAGTTCATTAACTCCTGGGTGTGTAATGAGTTTATAATAATTGTAACAATGCGTCTTTGCCGGTACGTCTGTTTAAGAGCCAATAAACAAGATTTATTACACAGGGTCCCAATCTCAATTGCTACTGTTTAATATTAAAGGGGGGGGGGGGGCGAATGGTTAGCACGTGCGCGCTGTATCAGAAAGTCTGTCATTGAGTCAACTGGCGTGGTTTCGAATCCCCGGTTGTACGTGACAAGGAGTATGGTCGCCTGTCCAACCTCGTGGGTTTTCTGTGGGTCCTCCACATTCCTCCTACTGCTAAGGACCCTTACGCGCAAGCGAATTATTGAAATGAAATTGAACCATGTGTTAGTCCCGAAATGAGCTAGTTTGTGTCGAGTGGGCGTTTAACCCCATTTCACAGATCATATCCTGTAATTACGAAATGACAAGATATCTCTCTTTACATTGAGAGTTCCTCCAACACCATTCCCGGCTTCCTTCCACCGCTAAAGACACCTGCGTGCAAGTGAATTATTGATATAAAATTGAACCATCATGTCAGTTCCGAAATGACCTCTTAATGCCCCCCCCCTCTCTCTCTACGTCAGGTTGGTATGTTACTCTGAATAGACGCATTGCATGAAACTTGCCAAATGTTTTATTGTATATTTGTGACCACATCTCCAACTTTACTCGAGCAATAAGGCTCCTTTCCAAACACAGAATTGAACCCAGGAAATGTTCTCAAAAACGCAACCTGACTTCTGAGATGGTAATGTGTTCTCCATGTAACTCATGCTGCACGTGCTGTTCACCGGGACCAGCCCTATAAAATGCACCCCCATACCTGGTTGAATCATTCACACTACAACGTCAGCAGTATGCCACAACTCACGACAGCTCAGAGGCACCAGGAGCCTGGAAGACTCGACGCTGGCCACACTGCCCATGCCGTTGCCAATCACTTCCAGGTCAATGTTCGGGCCATCAACAGGCTTCGGCAACGCTTTCGGGCCACCAACACCACGGATGATCGCCGCCGAACTGGTAGACCAAGAGTTACAGCAAGGCGACAAGACCGCCATGTTGTGCGACAGCACGTGCAGAATCCCTTCACACAGGCATCTGAGACAGCACGTCATACAGTGGGAACTCACGGAAGACCCATCAGTACCGATACAGTGCGCCGACGTCTCACCAGAGAGAACATCCATTGTCATAGACCTTACCGTGGACTTATCCTCACCCCTCGCCATCGACGTGAACGTCTACAGTTTGCCCAACAACACCAGAACTGGCGACACAGGCGATGGAACACTGTTCCGTTCACAGATGAGAGTCGGTATTGCGTATCAACTGCAGATGGCAGGACCAGAATATGGCGGCGACGTGGCCAGCGTTATTCTGACCAATGTGTCATGGAACGATACTCATGGGGAGGTCCAAGCATAATGGTTTGGGGTGGAATCGGCCTGAACCAGAGAGTGGGACCTGCGGTGTTCCAAAATCTTGATCCAGGGAGAGGAGGCGGCATCACAGCAGTGCTCTACATCGATCAAGCTCTCAGATCTCACGTCATACCACATTTCGCACGTCGTCGAAACAACGTTTTCCAGCATGACAACGCCCGTACCCATACCGCCAGAGTTACTCGGGACTTTCTACAGCAGAACGGTGTCAACGTTATGCACGGGCCAGCCCTTAGTCCGGATTTAAACCCGATTGAACATCTTTGGGGTGAAATTCAGACGAGACTTAACGTCGTACCGAGACCAAACACAGCCGATGGATTGTGCCAGGCTTTTCTGAGAGTGTGGTTCCAGGTGCCAATGGCGATCATCAATCGTTTGGTTCACTCCATGTACAGACGCTGCGCTGCTGTTATTGACACTCGCGTTGGACACACCAGATACTGATGTATAGACTGTGCACAGACTCTAAACCTTCTCGTAATGTCTTAGAATTGTGATGACTTAATATCTAATGTGTCAACATACTGTTCACAAAAAATTGCTTTGATCCATTTAGTAAGACGTTTTCTAGAATGATTTGATTAAAGTGCCCCTCTGATTTTGAAATCGTGCTGATGTGGTTTTTTTTTTGGGGGGGGGGGGGCTGGTTAGTATATATAATACTGCCAGGCAGAATACGTCCGCATTTTGCAAGAGATGGATAGAGAACAAGCTAGAAACAAAAACGATTTTTTGAACAATCAGGGGCAATAGTCCAGAAAGTTATGGTCTGAAATGAGCAAATATCAAAAGGGACTCAGATTTTAGGAATATAAAGATATGTTTTAAGTTTTATCAAAATCGGATAAAAATTGTGACCTCTAGAGGATCCATAACCTTTCTATTACATACTTATACACAATTTGCGTACAAAGCGTACTCTAAATCCAGTGGACGCCAGACGCGTCCGAGCGCGTTAGATTGTAAACACATGAAGTTTTCATCTGCCCACATAATGATTTTTATTTAACACAGCCATTAAAAAGGGAATAAAGAGCGTCCTTTATATGATTTGGAATTATGACGCCGAGTGTTCATTGTGATTTAGTAAACACAGACTGTTCGATTGTGAACACATTTAGGTTTAAACATTAATAACAGAACACATGACGTTGTTTGAGATGTTTTTAAGAATGGACACCTTGCGTCAACCATTCAACGTCAAATTTTCTCTATGAACAAGCTATTCATAGAAAATTCTTAAAACTGCCAACTTGCACTTAAAAGTACAAGTAGGCAGTTTTAATATTTGATTAAGAAAACCAGATATAGTTTTATTTGTTTTTTAAATAAAAGATTATTTTTTTTAATTTTTTTTTACAAAAGGTAGCCCAAATGACGTTAATATACGTCCATTGGGGTAGCCTATCAACAGAATCTCCGTCGAAGCAATACCATTAAAACCTTTCGAATGTGCGTTGCGAACACACTGCTAAAGGTCATGTTTGTGTGAACGTTGTATTTGTTCGCCCCAACGCCTGGCGTTCAGACAAACACACACACCGTTCACACAAACATGCCCTTATGAGCATGCGTTAAGAGTCACGTGAACACTTTCAAAGACGACCTAGGATGCCATTGTACGTATTTTGATGTAAGAAATTAAATACAGCTCTGAATCACTAATCAGTGTACATTGATGAATTTCAGCATAGACACTTTGTTAACGGTAAGTTTTGGAATAGAAAATAAAGTTTTATTTTCCTCCTTGAGTATTTTGATTTACTGTTAATCATTTCAACCGTTACCGCTCTCTTGGACCTTGGCGTCTCAAAGACAAAGAGTAATACGTCTGTAACTGAAGGCAAATTTCTTTAGTTATGTATTTTATTGTTATGAATACAGGAAAGCGGACATTTTTAAGAGTGTTAGAACAAGTGGGTCTTATTTCAAAATATCCTTAAAGAAACGGAGAAGCTGTAGGCTATAACTTATAAGGCTGGACATAGTTGTCTCCCTTCTAGTTATACGTCACGCGAGTTCTGTTTCGAACACCACGTGTTCAGAATTAGAACACCTCGCGTTCAGAAGAAGACCACAAACTGTTGTTTCAGCTTTTTATTTTTACCCCCCTTCTTCCCCTCAACAAACACACACACACGTTATTTACAGTTATCAGTAACGAGTATTTAGTATTGATGCATTTGGTCATTTTTATAGCGGTAGGGGCCTACTATAACAGTATTAGGTCTAGCCTGTTCCATCACCGCCCATGAAGAAAATTAACATCGAAGAATTTTATAAGGAGTGGATGAAAAGAAACAACTCAATTTCCGAATACGGTGCACTTTAAGCTTCTGCTAAATAAAACTGGTAAAGTATTTCTGTACATCAGTGATACTATGCCTGCAGAAAATTTCGTTTACAGCTTTTAGTTCAATGTACTGATTCAATGAAACTTTGTTTTCAATTTTTAAAAAGTATTTACATTTAAATTTACAATCACGTTTTTCAGATGTAAGGTGAATGACGGGCCTTTTTGTCATCAACTTTATTGAGAGCGAAACTCAAAACGGTGCGATGAAAAAAAGAATCTATTGTACAAGTAATTGATGTAAGTTTAATTCTTGATGTACTGACAAAATTTATTTTCCGTACAATATTTTCAAATTACTGTTTGGCCAGCAATTCGGAACGGATATTGTCATTGTGTTGCGGTACAAACTATGAAATGCAGGGCCTTGAGAGTCCAAGGAACTTCTGGCTTAGACAGCATTAAAATACTCGGACAAAAGAAGGTAAAAGAAAAAAAAAATAGAACATTTGAAAAAAAAGAGACCCGTTTGTTTAAGAATACTTATCCAAGAACTTAATAATAACAAATAAATTTGTGATCGTGGTTAATGGCTCCCTTTGCCCCCCCCCCCCCTCTAAATAGAAGTAGTATTGGAGCCACATTGATATTCATCTAAGTTGCGTTTCATCAATAATTAATCTGATCTAAACCACGCGAAAATCATTGTTGCAACGTACCTCATACAAAATATCACCAATGGTCAGTGTTCGCTGTGTGGGACAACTACACAGAGCTGGGCACTCTATTGGTTATGACATGCCGTTCTAACGTGCACAGCTTCATTTGGTTGTTGCTGTTGCTATGAGTGGATACCTACCATAACTGTCAGCCACAGTGAAGTGTATTTTTGTTTTTTTATTTAGACTTTCCTTTTTCCTATAATTTCAGGAATATGACAGTTCAGAAATTGAGAGGTCACTCATAAGGGGGAACAGCTACATTTATAAGTACCAAGAACAGAAAATACCGTCCGTTGGATTTTTATTTAAAATCATGATAAAATATAAACTGTTTTGGAACTAAATAAAACCTTTAAATTCATATCTTTATTTTTCTCTTTTTGCCCAGAACATTTTGTAAATGTGGAAATCGACTAATTTTCTTGTGTTCATTGCAGTTTATATAACAGTTAATCCAGTACAATGAAACTGAACACTTAGTGTTAGCAAACAGCAAATGAACGCGTTCTAGTGTTCAAAATCTGTTTCATTTTTGTGTTCATTACGGAACGCGTCCGGTGTTCGGATCTGAACGCTTAGTATTACTTTGTTAGGAACATTATGTTTTCTGTGCTGAACGGCAGACGTATACATCAGTTCGAATTTGAACGTTTAGTATTACTTTGTTAAGAACATTGTGTTCTGTGCTGAATGCCAGACGTATAAATCTGAATACTCATCCTAGCTGTTGGACGCGTTCAAAATCTGTTTCATTTTAGCGTTCTGTAAAGGCGTCCGTGGGTTTAGAGTGGCGGCCATTTTGTCAGTTAGTTTCATTTCGATTTTCCCGAAATTCAAATTCAACCTTCATTATGATGGAACGGGGATATATCTAAACGGTTTTTAAAATCAGAAAAAAAATTGTGACCTCTAGAAAATCCACAAGCTAAAAATGCGATTTTCGACCAATCAGGGGCCATAATCCAGGAAGTTGCGTTCGGATATGTGTGATTATCAAAAGGAACCAAGATCTTTATGATAAAAACATATATTTAAAGTTTCATCCAAACCGGATAAAAACTGTGGCCTCTAGAGGGCCCACAACCTTGATATACCATATTTTTTTTACACTATTTGCGTACAAAAGGCGGCCATTAAGTCCGTCAGTTTTTTCTGATTTTCAAGAAATTCAAACTCAGTCATCATTAGTGTATAACCGTGATATATTCACACGTTTTTTTTTTAAATTGGATAAAAATTGTGACCTCTATAGGTGTATTAATATTGTAGCAATTTTGCTCATTAATTAATATCTTTAGTAGATTCACATATGTAGTATGTACTTAAAGGAGCTAAATTGCTAACATTTGGGACCTACAAATTGACACAAGTGGGTCGGAACTCATATAATACTGTAATATGAATGTATATAAACTGATATACATTCAATGGTTTCCGTTTTTACTCTAATTTCAAATCAGTTATGTTCCGCGAAATAAGCCAACAGTCTCAATCGAATGCAAATTTCTAGCGCCTGGTTATTCCAGTCTACATACGCCGTTTGGTTTGGTGCAATATGTCTAACCTCGTTCCTGGAGTCTCTTGCTAGAACTGGGGCTGAAACGCATTATGGTACACGATTCGTGTACCAATGGTAAAATGTTTATTTTGTCTTAAATATTGGGTATCAGAGGCCCATCTTTTTCCGGTAAGATCACAGCATCAATGTTGATTTAAATTGACAAATAATTAATTTGTGTTTTCAATGTTGAAGATTTTTGATGATATTGAGTTAGAGACTTAGCTACTTTAAATCAACTTAGTGAATGAATGACAGGTTGACACATAAAAAGAGTTATAGAACCAAAACATAGCTGGTTCCATGTGTCAATAAAATACCACGAGATTACACGTGCTTGGCAATGTACTAATTGCATCATTTGGCTAAAGTAAACAATCATAATCAGTAATTGCACAGTTTTAGGGTCACGAGTAGCTTATTCTGCGCGTGATATCCATGGGTCCTATAAAAGAAATCGTGGTAAACTTTTAAGACAGATTTTCTTTAGATTCCGGAGAGATTACGTTCTGAGTTCCTGGACAACAGCTTGATTCCAGAAGGGGAAAGATTTAACAGTTTCTACCAGCAGACTCGCCCAGTCTGCCTGGCTATTGTTTGAAAATGACTTTATTATTGTAATCTATACTATGCTTGTATCCATATGTAAGCAGCTATGATATATAAAACGTAAAAATGAACTGAGAAGGCAAACGTCTTAAGGAAAACAGTAAGAAGTAAATACACAACATGAAGCAGAAGCAATGACAGCTATGGGTCATACGTAGGATGTGGCGACCGGTTTATTCAACGTCCGACCTCCCCGTCTGACAGAAGGCTCATGGTACTACATAGGGACTACAAGCTCAAAACGCGATTTTTTTACATCCGATACGCGCAAATATCGTAAGGAACCAAGATCTTCGGGTTATAAACATGCATTTCAAAATTGTGACCTCTAGAGTGTCCACAAGCTAAAAACGTGATTTTCCGTACAATCAGAGGCCATAATCCATGAAGTTATGGTCCGATACATGCCAATATCGAAAGGAACCGGGATCTTTAGGAGACCTATTTCAAGCTTCGTCAAAATCGGATAAAAATTGTGGCCTGTAGACTGTCCACAAACAAATTGTGTCCGGACGGACCGACGGCAATATACATATAAATAACAGGAAAGAAAGTGGTTCCTACAAGTGTGGTTCCTATCAAGGACACGACAAACACTTATATACTATGGAAGGGTATCGCTGCCAATATTAAATGCTCTGCTAAAATGTCTTTCCATTGATTATATGTAAAAAGTACACTGTACAATGTCCTAAAACCGGTAATGATGAAGTCAAAATACTACTAAGGCCAAAGTTAAATGTAAAACGTCAAATGTAATGTGTCAAATGACAAATGTTTGATTGGAAAACGCTGTTTTTGGCGTGTCTACATTTTACATTTCCCAGATTACATTTTACATTTGCGTTCTGCCGCATTTCATTTGATCTTCACGCTTTCTACATAGCATCTTACGCAGAGCACTAACTATGATATGCAAATGTAGGATATCACGTCAATTATTAACATATACGGAAACGGGGCCGAGATCAACCCGACACACTATAAGCCAGCACACGATAAGGGGAAATCAACCTGGCACACTATAAGAAATTTACTTACCTTGAAAAAAACGACCAAATTTGGATGGTACTAAACTATATTACCATGATTACCGATGGGGTGGGTGGGTATGCAATGTCAAAATACGGGTCTTAATACGATATTCACGATATCATGTTACATATCAGTGAAAAGCACGTTAATGTACACTCTTTCCTCTCCTTAAGTAGCCTACATGTATATTCATTATTTGTTAGGCACAATGATTATACTTTTTTTTCTTTTTTTTTTTTTTTAAAAAATGGATTAAAGTTAATTAGCTGGTACTAAAATTTCGAAAGAGGATGTGGGGGCGGTGGCGATGGTTTAAAATGTCAAAAATACGGGTCTTAATACGAAATTCCAGTTATCGTGTTATACGGCACTGGAAAGTATTTTTCTATGGCTCTTTGAATCTATCAGTTATTTCCTGGCACATTCATAATTAGGTACTTTAGAGAAAGAAAAGTCCTCCTTGTTTTGTAGAAAGAAATGTGTCGCTTTCCGACAGTAACCTAATTGCTAAATATAGACTATATTTTCAATTTATGTTATTTGTCAATGGCTCGGATTAACCATACCAATCACATGATTGTATTGCAGGCACGGTCGTCCCGTGAATTTCTTATAGGTTGCCATGTTGATTGCCTCAATATCGTGGGGTAAATATCTTGTGCGTGTGAAATAGCTTTATTTAACGTCCGATTCCACCGATATGATACCGCAGACATGTAAATATCTTATAGTGTGCCAGGTTGATCTCGGCCTCGTTTCCGTATATGTTAAGTCACGTGGTATCCTACATTTGCATATCAAACTTGGTGCTCTGCGTAAGATGTTATGTAGAAAGCGCGAAAGCCAAGAAATGCGGCCTCGGTTTTTCTTTTTCTCAGGTTATTTTCTTCAGTCTTTCTTTCCCCAGCATAACCTGTCTCGTGCTCTATCCTACACAGATGGGACACATTGGTCACTCTCTTAACACACATCCCACACTCCTGCCCCTTAAAACCATTCTATATTTAGTTTCATTGATCACTATTATATATATAGGGATCATCCTTGAGACCCGCTTCAAACAGTATTCTAATTTATTCTAAGGATATTTAACATAAATTTATTCCATATTGAAATTCCTGTGACAGTGAACATTATAGCGGATTTGTGCTAAATGTTTGTTGCATATACACTCCTCTATCAGCCAATTTATCACCAAGAACACGGATAACAGCAGTACCGGGGTCAAACTCATCAATAATTGTATCGTTATCTGTAAGATGTATTTCATACGATTCACTCTCCTTTTTTACCACATCACTTTTCTTATTGAAGTTCCTAGATCTCATCTTGCCACATGCAAACTCATAATGTCTCTTAAGATATTTCTCAACTCTAAAACCTTTATTACAGACTTCACATTTATATGGTCTGCCTTCTGTATGAATTCTACAATGTTCCAGAAGATTAGTGTTATATTTAAAAGAACGTCCACATTTATCACATATGTAGGGTCTTTCGTCAGAATGACTTCGGATGTGCTTTGATAAGATGTGTTTGGTTAAAAATGACTTATCACACTGGTCACACTGGAAAGATCTAATGTTTTCGTGACACTGAATATGATAATTTAAGCCTGAATATGTTCTGTATGTTTTCCCACATATATGGCAAGACCAGTTTTTCTCCTCACAGTGAACTTTCATATGGTTTCTTAAGTCGCATGCAAATAAGAAACATTTTTCACAAACTGTACATTTATGCTTGCGTTCACCTATGTGATATTTAACATGCTTATTTAAGAACTTAAGGGTAGTGTACTTTTTGTCGCATAGGTGACAAGAGTACATTTTCTCTGGAATGTGTATTCTAAGATGACGAATCAGACTGGACTTGTCTCGAAAGCTTTTACCACAATGTTCACATATATTCGGTCGCTCTCCAGTGTGAATATTTTCATGTTCCTTTCTTGTACGATCAAAGCGGAAGCAATCTTCACAAAAAGAACATTTATACGGTTTTCTTGAATTAGTTATACCCTTTTCTAAATTCTTGAGAAGAACCTCTTGTCTCCTTCTTAATTTCCTACGCTCATCTTTCAAAAGTTTCTTTTGTAATAAATCAAAGGTCTTTTTAGATGTCACATCATTTCTCTTCTTTTCCAAACTTATAGCTGCCTTCTCAACAATAACATTTTTAGCTTTTTTCTTAAATGCATTGTCTGTAGTAGTCAGAACAATTTTTAACAGACTTTTTTTCTCTTCATCTGCTGTTTGATCTTTGGCAGCTTTGCTTTTCATTTCTACATGTATATTGTCTTGATACGAATCGTCTGCATCTTCACTTTGCAAATCTTCGTTAGATGTAATTAGAAAGTCTTCTATTTCTTCAGAAGTGCCATGAACAGTATCCATGATATCAGCAACGTCATTTTCTAGGGTTTCATTAGTTTCTTGTCTTTTCCAAACGGCATCATGGACAGATTTCTGTTTAAGTTTTTCTTTAATTTCATCTGTAGTTGGTTTTGATTCTTCACTTGAATCTACTGTTATAGAATCATTCTGTGGTAGGTGGGTGGATCTTTTAGACTTTCTAGTTCCTGTTAGTGTTATAATATGTGCAGCATCATTAGTGTCTGTTTTTGAATGTGTTTTGCACAGTTTAACTTCATCTGGTTTATCAGTCTTCTCAGTCATGTCACAACTTGATATATCACTATTCTGAAACTAACATAATTATGATATTATGCAAAACATTAAAATCTTGTTCTCATTAAATGAAATCAGGTTAAATGAAATCAGGTTAAAAAGTCTACTTTTCTGCACCTGTCAGGCTAATATACATGTACACATGCATACGCCATGCAGTCTGCTGTGAGAGAAAGTTTAATCAATTATGATCCATTTGCTTGCTGATTCTAAAACATAAATTGCGAAATAAACATACCAAAATGATCTCACTAATGGTGTAGCCTATTATTTAGCATAGCTGCACACTATTACAGGCCAACTCATTCATACTACATAGTTATAAGTATTGCATTTAATGCTAATTAAAATTAGATTGTGAGGAATCTATAAACAATTATTGTCCTGTAAGTCTTAAGGGGGATATTGATGCCAGACAGAATTATATCATAATATGACATTATATAGAATCATATGACTTTACATTATCATTTTCAACAATGATTCTGAACATTCTGTGGCCAATTTCATCAACTGCAGTATTAAAGTAATGAATATATTACAGAGAATTCTATGACTTGGAATGCTTACTAATATATCAGCATTGAATTTCTGACAAATATCTGTAAGTGTCTGATCATCTATTTCTTTAGAAATTTTCTGTATTTTTCTTACATTGTCAGCCTTTATTGATGTTACGAGAGCATCTCGACATCTACAAAATGAATTAGTTATTACAGACAGATAAATCTAAAGTCATTTCATAATTTCAAGAATAGAATGAACAAATTTAGTTCTATGTGATGAAATGAATTAACAGAACTAAAAAGGCAAGGCTCTTTCAGTTAAACTCTGCTTATTTTGCACTGAAATTAGTCAAAATTTTATCAATCTATGCACATCATTCTACAACTTAAAGTATCACAAACTTCTTATGTCAAAATCTGAGCATCCACAGAAGAATTGCCTGAGAACCAGAATATATTTTTAATTGCCTAAAGTTTCTACTTTTGTTTACCTTTTATGTAGATATTCTAATTTAAATCTAACCGCAACCTTCAAGAGATCAAGAAAGAAATTGACATCCATCTTAACTTTAATTTCATCAGTATAAATCCACCTTATCATAGTATAGGCCACTTGAAATTTTATATCTGCAAAAACAAAATGTACACTGTACAACTATACTAGATCTTTGTTGCTAATGAAATCAAACAAGATCCTATGCCATGATTTAATGGAACACTTTATAACAAAGAAAGCTTACGTTGCTTGAAATTGAAAATGCAATGGGGTCCTGCTGCCCTGCTTGTAATATCAACAGTTGCCAGGCAAGATACTCCCATATTTTGCAAGAGATGGACAGAGAACAGGCTAAAAAAACAATGTGATTTTTTGTACAATCAGGGCCATAATCCTGGAAGTTACGGTCCGATATGCATGTACATCGAAAGGAAGCGAGATCTTTTGGATATAAAATTATATTTTAAGTTTCAACATGATCGAATAAGAATAACAAGCGGTTGCCAACCAAGATACGCCCACATTTTACAAGAGATGGACAGAGAGCAAGCTAAAAAAAGTAGTGATTTTTCGTACAATCAGGGACTATAATCCAGGAAGTTACAGTCTGATAGCGAAATGAATCAAGATCTTTGAGACACAAACATACATTTCAAGTTTCATCAAAATCAGATAAAAATTGTTACTTCTAGAGTGTCTACAACATTGGTGTTACATACTTTTACAATATTTGGGTACAAGATGCATCCATTTTGTCTGGCAGTTTTGGTCAGATTTTATGAAATTTTAACTCAACCTTCACTGATGTGTTTGTAACAGTGATATATTTAAACATTTTTTTTAAAACTGAATACAAATTGTGACTTCTAGCGGCTCCACAAGCTAAAAATGTGATTTTTCGAACAAACAGGGACCATAATCCAGGAAGTTACATTTGGATATGAGTAATTATCGAAAGGAACCAAGATAAATTTAAAGTTTCATCAAAATCGGATCAAAATTGTGGCATCTAGAGGGTCTACAACCTTGATATCCCATTTTAACCAGCAGTTTTGGTCCGATTTTCATGAAATTCGATCTCAAACCATCATTAGGGTGTATTTGTGCTATATTCAAACATTCTTTCAAATTGGATAAAAATTGTGACCTCTAGAGGAACCACAAGCTAAAAATTCAGGAAGTTACAATCCGATATGTGCGAATATCGAAAGGAACCAAGATCTTTGGGTTATAAACATGTATTTCAAGTTTCATCAAAATCGGATCAAAATTGTGACCTCTAGAGGGTCCACAACCTTGATATACTGTACCATATTTAACACTATTAGCGTACGAGCGGAGGCCATTTTGTCCGGCAGTTTTGGTACAATTTTCACAAAATTTTAACTTAACCATCATTAGGGTTGGACAGGGACTGATGATAATATACGTCCACATGAAAATGTGGGCGTATAAAAACTATATGCTTAAATGTTTTTTTGAAATAAAAATGAATTTTGAAATTAATTTTTTTTGTCTCAAACAAAGCATATGCTATCGTATCAGACTATATACTGTATACATTTTTATGTATTCTATGTTGTAATATTTTCTTAACTTAAAATAAACACAACAGTTCTATGGAAAGCAATTACTGTATTTTAATTGGATCCACTTTTCCACAATGATTCTTGTATCGTTTTCAAGCACAATACTGATACACGATACAGTCTAAAAGAACGAAATATATACTATGTACAATCATAACATCAGGGAAACCACTAATAAGAAATGTTCACACTTGCATATATTTACATTTTAACCCATCTCATTGAAATTTTCTTAACTGTTCAATGTATACTATTTTATTCTGTTCTTGGAAACACTGACGTTGTTGACTATGTGTAAAGAGAAAGACTGTCATACATAATTTTGTCTAATATTCATCAGACATTTTGAAATAAAAATGGTTCACTGACACATGGAATTTTTTTTTCGAATATTACTTGAGTGAGCTCTACATGCAGCAACTATTTATTATACATTTTTTTTAACGTACATGTACATCAGCGTAGTTTTAAACTATGATAACATTCCTGTCAATCAAGACAGGATTGTGATTGAGTTGGACATATTGTCTTATATTATTATACTTACTATACACCACTTGTCACTTATCTATGAATGGAAAAAAATCGGACAATATGATGATTTGACTTTATACTTCAATTTTAATATATCCCATAAAATAAATATAGTACATTGTTTACCTGTTAAATCTAGAACTTTTAACTGACTGAGGTTCTTCCATTCATCACTTTGAGCGGCAAGGATTATCTTATGACAAGGCATTTTACGCCCTTGTAACAATATTACTACATCACTGAAACAAAAATCAAAAGACACTTATAATTACGCTTAATATCAGTGACACAATGAATAAAAATTAGTATTAAAAATTACAATTTTATAAACAGAGCAAATTTCCAAATAAATTAAAACAGCATGTGATTTATCAAACTGAACATCAGTAAATATTTGCTTGATCGCTACTATCACTGAGAGGTTACTACATCTGATGTCAACTCAACACTGCAACACGCCTTCAGTCGTCAGTGTGGAAGAATTCAAAGTTTAAGAAACAAACCTGTATTTAACATTATTAAAGAGATCAGCTGTAAAACTTTTTAGTCTTTCAGTATGCATGTCATCTTCTACCTTCCTTATGTCTGCTAATTCTTTATTCAGCTGTTTATAATTATGTTTTAAATCTTCTTTACATGTAACAAAATAGAGTATAATAAATAACCGTATCTTCAAAGTTTAAAGATACATTATGGAAGATTAGATAAAGACCTGGCAGTTCTCAATATAGTAAAAGCTCAATAATGTAAAGGGAATATGTAAAGTCGGTACGATAACAATCATAGTCTTCATTATCCATTTTTGGATTAAATCATAAATAAGCGTTGAGCAGCAAATCAGATTCAAATCCGACACATAAATGGCACAGAGAGTTGATTAAGGTCTTTTCAGGTAAATAAATGTATAATTATTAGTTTATATAACATTTCAAGCCCAAAGAAAGACCTACAATAGGTAGATTTAGCCACATGCCCATGCACATGGTTGTTTAATAAAATGCTCTGAACCGGGCTAATGAAGACGAGCATAAGCGCCATACATACAGTGTGCTATGAGGGAAATTTTGCACTACGAAAGTACGGCCTACTCTTATAATATATATCGAATTCCAACGGTCAAGGGATCTTTTATGTGCACGCCTACACAGGACCTTGGTTTTTCGTACCATCCGAACGACTAGACAGCTGTCCTGCATCACTAACAAGGGGGAACCACGCTGGAAAATCTGGATGAACTTTCCTGATCAGGCAAGCGAGCCAGCGTCTTATCCACTTAGCAACGTGACCCCCCAATGTCCTGCTTATGGTTGTTTGTTTTCTTTTTAAGGTCCCATGTCTTGACTCCACTCTGACTATCAGATCCCAAATTAGCTATATCATAAAGCATAGTAATACTACGAATAAACCAGAAATTTAATCCTCAAAATCATGACAGCAGAGAATATCTATGACACTGACAGTAAAAAATAATCCCGACCTTCCGCCATCTTGTTTTTTTTTTGCCAGGAACTACTCGACTGGACTCGTCGAAAGCACATTGACAGGAACACTCTTGATGTTATTCAAATGAAAAATTTGTAAATGTTTAAAGATTTAAAATAATGTCTGCATGTTGCAAAAATGCGGTGTATTTATTTGCCTTGATTTATTTTTATATGTGGACTGTTCAAGTCCAAAAATGAAAAAAATAATTGTACAAACAAGATTTGTCTCCCTTGCACCCACCAAAATCAAATTCGACCCTACACCTATTCATTGAGTGACAGCGGTTCCATCAAGGTTTAAACCTTAGAATGTCTGAGCTACAAAAAGCTGGAAGTCGCATTCTAATTATATGTTGACTCTCTTATCTCTGATTTCTAAGGGGAGTCAGCAATCTGACATTTTCATTAAATTGATAAAACTTGAAAAGTCCAGGGGTAATTATGTATATAATTTAAAAATAAGGTCCATGATTAAACTATATATTTAAAATACTGATGTGACGTCATCCTTTAATGTTAGCGTACCATTAGCAACTTGCCAATCGTACATTATCTATACTAGATGAAATATTGGACTCGCATGACATATTTCATTGAAAAGCACATGCGAGATAGTGTCTGTGTTTTAAGTTGTTTAATGGTCTCGAGCTAAAGACATTGCGTATATTGAAACAACACTTGGCTAACGCCCCGTGCAGTATCAATATTTTACTTAATGTCTAGCTCTCAACCATTAAACCATAAATAATGCACTGCAGTCAGTGGGCTGAACGACACTTGAGTTCAATTCATGACATGACAAATTGACATCTACTAATTATAATACGATTGAACATATTGACAGAAAACTAACAGACCCTCTAAAATATTGTCCCATTTATCATAAAGCTGCACAGGTGTTGTTTCCTGGGCTGTAACTAGCTCAGAGCAATGAGGGGTGCTGTAAAATTGACGGACAATGTATATCTTTTTTATGGTCCATAATTTTTTCACAGCTCCCCCCCCCCTCCAGTTATGGGCCTGGTTGTTTCTGGTTTCGCAAAGGCTTTATATAACATTCCGGTTTGATTGAACTAATAAACTGGTAGTTTGTTTATAATGTTTACTTTAATTTCTAATCATTTAAATTGATCAAATCTATAATAAATTATTAAAGAACACTAGTTTTATTACTACTTCTATGTTCTTGTGGAACGCCAAATTAACACGATATATTCCAAAATTCATTACGAGTATACATGTTGCAAAACAAGAAAACTCACAAGCAAATTTGGTTTCAGTTTATTATGTACAAAATTGTGGAGATCATAGAGGATTTGTGGTGAAAGTTTGTTCCGTATACATTGCTTCATCAGCCAATTTACCATCAATAACATGAATAATAGTACCAGGATCTAACACACCCATATCTGTATCATTGTCTGCTATATGTATTTCATATGATTCATTTTCTGTTTCCAGCTTTTGACTTTCCTTATTTCCATTCCCTGACCTTAACTTACCACATGCGAACTCATAATGTCTCTTAAGATATTTCTTTACATTGAAACCTTTATTACAGACTTCACATTTATATGGTCTGCCTTCTGTATGAGTTCTACAATGTTCAAAAAGATTAGTTTGATATTTAAAAGAACTTCCACATTTGTCACATATGTAAGGTCTTTCATCAGAATGACTTTGTAGGTGCAATGCCAAACCACGTTTAGTTAAAAATGATTTATCACACTGATCGCAATGGAAAGGTCTAATATTTGCATGACTTTGCAGATGGTAATTTAAGCCTGAGACTCTTCTGTAAGATTTTCCACATATATGGCAAGACCAGTTTCTATCCCCGGTATGAATTGCCATATGAGTTTCCAATCCTCTTGGATACAAGAAACCTTTATCACAAACTGTACATTTATGTTTGCGTTCACCTATATGATATTTTATATGTTTATTTAAGAAACTTTCCCTAGAGTATTTTTTATCACACATGTGACAAGAATACTTTTTATCGGTATTGTGTATTCTACAATGACGAACCAGACTGGCCTTCTCTCGAAAGCTTTTACCACAATGTTCACATACATTCGGTCGCTCTCCAGTGTGAATATTTTCATGTTCCTTCCGTGTGTGATCAAAGCGGAAGCATACGTCACAAAATGAACATTTATACGGTTTTCTTGCATTAGTTATACCCTTTTCTAAATTCTTGATAAGAACCTCTTTTCTTCTCTTTAATTTTCTACGTTCTTCTTTTAATTTTCTCTTTGTTAATGGATCAAGGTTCTTTTTATTTATGATGGTTGATTGTTCTGCTATAACAATTTGCTTTTCATTAAATTTTGTACTTGCATCGATGATTTTTTGGATGGCAACAGAATCTTTTTTAGCTCTTTTGTTTAACACAAGAAGAATTGGTTTGCCTTTAAGCTTTGTACTTGTACGCAGAGATTTACGTGCCACATTGTCATTTCCCTCCCCATCCAATTTTTTCAAAAGAGTAGCCTTCTCTTCATTTGCTGTTTTATCTTTAGCAGTCTCACTTCTCATTTCTACATTTTTATGACATGGACCTTCTACATCTTCACTTTCTATAGCTTTGTTTGGTGTGATTAGAACCCCTTCTATTTCTTCACACGAGTCATGAACAGCATTATTGACATTGGCTGGACCCGAAACTTCAGCAACTACATTTTCTACAGATTCATTAGATGTAACCAAAGTCACTTCTCTTTCCAGAGGAGCATCATTTACAGTATTTAAGGGCATTAGGTTTACTTTAATTGCATTTGTAGTTACTTCTGTTTCATTGTTTGAACCAACGGCTTTGGGATTATTAGGACTATGTGTGAAGGTACTAGATCTTTTAGATGATCTCAATGGTCGTGTAATATGGTCAGCCATATTGTCTGTTTTAGATTTAGATTTTACTCCATATGGTATAACGTTCTTCTTATTACTCTTATTACTTGAAATAGAACTAGTCTGAAAGATATAAAATAATGTACATAAATAAAGTTATTTAGGGCTTATATTGTGAGTCTATATAATTTGATTAAATTTCATGACCATTAGAAAGACTATACTTTCAAATAATTTTTCACTTAGATGACCCAATCTAATTATGCGATAATGCTTACTAAACAAGTATGAGAGAGAGAGAGAGAAATGGGGTTTAACGTCCACTCGACACAAACTAGGTCATTTCGGGACTAACATACGGTTTAATTTTTTTATTTCAATAATTCGCTTGCGCATAGGGGTCTTTAGCAGTGGGAGGAAACCGGAGGACCCGGTGAAAACCCACAAGGTTGGACAGGCACCCTACTCCTTGTCATGTACAACAGGGGAATCGAAACCCTGCCAGTTGACTCAATGACAGACTGTATGATACAGCGCGCGTGTGCCAACCATTCGGCCATCCACCCCGCCTAACAAGTATGAGTACTTGATGTTGAGTACAGCGTCTTGAAGATTGATAATCGATACAGTTTTAAAATATTGATTATCGCACAATTATAGGTACTTCATTTGTACATTGTAAGAAGAAGTCCATAAAAAATAATCCTTATCACTATATTCTTTGCAATGCGTGCTTGGGCTTAGAAATTTAACTATTACAGAATAGTCATAATTAAACACACACGTTTTTTTTATTTTACACAAAACACCACCGCTGAGAAATGTCGGCCACTTGTGTTGAGAGCCTGGCATGCCATGTTGTTGCGCAACGTATTGTGAAATATTGAAATTATATGGATCTCACAGTGACCAAGAGTCAAAAACATGAATTAAGCCACTGTATAAGGAAATAAACTGTTATGCCTATTGGATGTAGAATCTGTTTCATGTGATCAAAGGTATGCATTTTACTCATTATTATTCAGGTCATAAGAAACAAAACTATGGCAAGCCTTGGCAGTTCTGATTTCCATACGCAATGGATTGAGTTTTTACACCTTGGTTTTGCTATGGAATGATTATTACTTTATTGTCAAATCAATGAAACAAATTCTACATGTATGCAGAATGACATCACAACATATAATTCGTTATTCATGTACAAATTATGATTGTTTTCAAAACAATTGTAAGTCAAAATATTATAGGCCGCATTCTCGGGGTGAAAATCTTGTCACCTTCGCTCCCGCTAAACCGGTCTACAAATCGTACTATCAATAATCGTGCAATCAATATGTCAACAAAGTTCTCCAATAAAATTTGCCAATTTAATAGTTCAAGCTCGAGAGAGGCTAGAAATCGATGACTTATTTCTTTATAGTGCGGAGCCATATTTGCGTAGATGTGAGTTGGATCCTGCGCAGCTATTTAAAATTTGGCCAATCAGCGGTCGCGCTTGCGGGGTTGCGGTCAAAAATTCTGGGGTCAAGTGCCAGGTCATAGCATTTGTAAACAAAGCCATGTTCACGATTTACCTTGCAAATTGCTCGCGGTCGGGACGAACAGAGATCAAATGAACCCCAAAAACATCCCACCCGTGTAGAGAAGTTGTGTATGAGAGCCACAAAAGGTATTTTGATCACACTGACATAAAATGTGGCAGTCAGTCAGGTTTTTTCGACACTGATTAAGGATATTGGACCGTTGATTTCACTAGAAAAATGCCTTAATATCAAGGGAGATTACAAGGTCACTGCTTCTATAAGTGTAATTCTAATGAAATCATTCATTTTACATAACAACACACTTAAAACCTGTCTAGCCTGCTGTCTTAATAACGATCATGGATAGGATAGTGTATAGCTAAGATTAAGAATGAAAAAAACATATTTTGAAATAAAGGTTGAGAACTTAAAAACTTGCAGAAATATTAAGAATAATGCTAAAAAATAATTTGAACTAGCTCAGAATTGTCAGGGAAAAGCCCATATGGACGAAATAAAATTTTGCATCTACAATGTATAAGCTTACAATAGATATATGAATTCAAATAACACTTGACTGTAATTAAAAGCTGTCAAAATTTCATTCTCATAGAAAAATGGGTTTTGTCTGCAACTGCCAATGAACCAGATGGCACCCCCCCCCCCCCCATCAATATGGGGCTCACCTACGACAGTGTACATGTAATCATCGATAAAAGTGCCACACACACTTTCAATGTTCAAATCTTGCTTCTAATTAATAAATATTCTGATTTCTTTAAACAATTATAACAGATACTGTACATGTAGTCGATCAAATCCAATACTAATTACATTTGATTTACCCGTCTTCATTAGCCCAGTTTAGGAGCAGAACAGTAGTACGTCAAACCCCATTTCATTTCTTGATTCGAAAAATATTTTTGATCACCTAAGATAAATAAAATACAATTTAATGGAGGATTTACACTAAGAGTAAGACACTAACTCATTTAGTAGTTAGAATAAGGCTACCGGTATTTGTTTCACTGGACTTATCAAAACAGCAAAAGTGTTATTGGGGCTTTAAATAAAATAATAAAAATGCTATTTTTATTTCGCATGGGACTAAATTGTCCCTCTTTTGTGTGGCCCCTGCTCAAACATACTTGGATTTTTTCTTGCAAATTATACAGATCTCTGATAAAACTGACTTCTTTAACTCTGATGAAGTAGTAACAGCATGCAATGTTCTGGGTTGACTTGGATGGTTATATTCAAAATTCTTTCATTCACAAATTTTTCTGGACTTATGGTCTGTAGCCTATATATGATGCACCTTTATTTCGTTTATTTATTACTTCTACTAGTTGGAATAGAAGTGGTCATATCTTGTTGAAGGTTTGGTGAAACCGTTTTTAAAAATATTATGTTATGAGTGAATTGTTATTTTTGTCGAATGATTAATATACTAATAGTAATAGTCAGTTGTTAAATAATGTTTGGTAAAATTCTGAATGTTGTGACAGTTTTAGTCGATTGGACTGAACGTAGACGCTGCCTTCTCACTCTCTTTCTTTCTCGCATCCTTTAACTGTTTTGTTCTTAAAACATCTATAAAACGTTGGGTGAAATCCAAAACCACTGCTGACTGTATCTTCAATATAATATCCTTCGTAATAAATCCATTTGTATTGAAAAATGCTGCAATAGATTGGTCATTTCCATCCAATTGAAACCAGTCTATAGCCACCTCACGACATTTGTCTCACCTTGCGTTTGTAAAGGGTTCTGAAACCTCCCTTATTAACACTGTCTAAGTGAACAATACAAGTTAATTGAGCCTTTGTCACCATTTCGTGTAGCTTCTACATGTATAACTGCAATGTGTTCCTCGTGAAGCACGCCATTTTGTGTTTACCAACAACACACGTGAATGGTCGATTGTGGAAAATACGATCACGTGACGCGGCGAACAACGCTGAATTCTGTCCAGTGACCTCGCGCACTATGAATTTTACTATCAATAAATAGTCCGGATTTCAAAGAAGAATATCACCGAAGAACTATGAAATTTTTTGGAGAACATTACAACAAACTAATATCTCTATATGAACTATACACTGACAAAATTTCTTCTAGACCGGATTTGTAGGAACGAAAATATTTTTGCAACGACAATTTGTGCCCATGGAATGCGGCCTATTATCAATTATTGATTGGTGGATGGTCGGCGATAATCGATACTTGAAACCAGTATCAATTGTCAGCCCTAATTACATAGGCTTGAATACTTACCAATATATCAGCATTGAATTTCTTACAAATATCTGCAAGTGTCTGGTCACCTATCTCTTCAGAGATTTTCTGGATTTTTGTAATGTTATCAACTTTTATCATGGTAACTATAGCATCTCGGCATCTACAAATACGATAAAAATAATACATTGATTAAAATAGAGAAAATACTTTTACAGTAGATATATACTTTATTGCATACACAAACCTCTGTCAAAACCTAGGTATATAAATTAACACACCAGGAGGTAAAGATGCATTATATTGGAGCTGAATCTGCCCATTTAGACATTTATTCACATTATAACCTTAATCAACACTCTAGACCATTGAATGGTTAAGATATTTAGTGGATTAGACAATGTCTGCCATATCTTTGTCAAATGCTACTTTTGTAAATCAAGACCATGTTTATTATCGGAGCAGAGGTACTTCACAATTGAGAATATTTTTTTGCCTGGAGTATATCATTTATATGTTGCTAAATGTATATGTATTATATGGTAATGTTCAAGATGTGCGAGGTAGGGTAATGCTCATTCTTTCTGGGACAATTTAAAAAGCTTTTCTTTTGGTGAGTTTACATAGCCATTTCTGTTTTTTTGTACATAAGTTTCCCTTTAATTTACCTTTTATGTAGAGATTCTAATTTAAACCTAACTGCAACCTTCAAGAGATCAAGAAAGAAATCGACATCCATCTTAACTTTAATTTCATCAGTATAAATCCACCTTATCATAGTATAGGCCACTTGAAATTTTATATCTGCAAGAAAAAATTTACACTGTACAACTATACTAAATCTATGTTGTTAATGAAATCAAATTAAATTTCCTTTCTTTATAACAAAATCATTAGCCATGTTTTTAACTATAATGGTTAGACGAAGATGAAACATCATATAATTATCCATTGAGAAAAACAATCAGTGGAAACCGTATAAATAACAAAGGAAATTTAAAACCGGCTTGTGAGTGAAATTCAAAGGAATTTCAAATTACATTTCCTAACAAAATTCTATGCTATCATTCAAACTGTAGTTGTTGAAATCAAAAGGTATTTCCATTTTAATTCATTATTCTCAAATCTCTAAATAACCGGCCAAGCTTTTAAAATCAAGAAGGTTATGTGGTCTGCCTTATAATATCAAATGGGTTTGCCTCAAGTAACATTTAACTTTCAAATTCTGTGTTCCAGCCCTTTGGAGCTCCTGGATAAAAAGATGGTTGATAAAGATTAAATGAGCCAATCAATTCACATGCTACTTACCTGTTAAATCTAGAACACTTAATTGACTGATATTCTTCCATTCATCACTTTGAGCAGCAAGGATTATTTTATGACAGGGCATTTTACGCCCTTGTAATAAAATTACTACATCACTGAAATAAAAAGTAAAGCACTGTTTGAAATTATAAACCATAGACCAGAGGAAGTTCCATTTGTTAAATTTTATTACCGATCATTAAATGTTTTAATAAGCGAGCACAGTTTTAAAGGCTCAATACCACTCTTGTTGTCCCAATCTTTATTCTGGTCAACAAATTGTACTATTATACAATATTCCAATTAATTGATGATACAAATTTCATCTTAACACACCTAATTTAAAAAAATTGGAAAAATTCAACTAAATGATCTTAAAAGCCTGACGTAAAGCTTTTCAAATGTGACTTGGATTTAAAAATATTTTTGAACCCTCTGGACAAGTAAAATAGGATTTAATGGATAATTTACACAACAGGTAGGACACTAACACATCTAGTACTTAGAATAAGGCTATTTTTTATTTTCTGGAGCTGTCAAGCCAGCAAGAGTGTTATTGTCCCTTTAAGGGACAGCAAGCCATTATAAACACTAACATAAGAGTTTGATGACATCTTGTACATACAAGTGTATACATGTACAAAGCAATAATAATTCTGCTATCTTTTCCATACAAGTCATGGGAAATGCTGGAAGTTTTACAGTAAAGTAGTACATACATATTTTACTTCTGAGATATTTATGAACTTTCTGGTTATTTCCAATGTGCTGAACAAATTATGTTTAGGACAATATTGTAGCAGTCAAGTCCTCCCAGAGTGACTTGTTATTCAAGACTGTCTTTGCGAGTCTACCTCATAAATTATTCCCCCACAACCTTTTTATATTCTAATATTCGATATTTAAAATTGTATAATTGTAATTGAATATTATATCATATTTTGTTATGAAAGTTATTTACAATTTTTGATATGATATTAAACAGACGAAACATTACATTACAACCATTCAACTGATGTCGTTCTCTCATTTAAGATTAATTTAATGTATCCAGACAGTGAGGTATAAACAACCTTCACAATATTAGTAGTCCCAGATTTGATACTCTTAATAACTCTGATCTAAAAAAAATTGAAGATAGGTTGCCAGGCAACGAAACATACGCCCACAGCAGTCAGCAGCTAAATCATTCGGGCAGTCAACAAGATTTTTACTTTTGTCGGGAATGAAACATTTATAATACACTCAAATCTGATTAAGAGTAAGAACTCATTAAGTAATTATCAGAAAATCATTAGAATTTCTTTGGCCTGTGCTAATGTTTAGTATACAAAACATTTAATATCATGGATTTAGCTGTTCAAATTATCAAAAATCAATGAAAATCAATATATTTGTTCGTCTCAAGACCTTAAACTCTGTGTATCAATCTAAAGTCAATCGAAACAATTATATATAGGTGTAAACACAGTGTATAAATTTAAAATCAATCAGATGATAACTCTGGTCGCTAAGCGTCCACAAGATTTTTCAAAGTGATCACGGGCCAAAACTCTGGCAGTAATTATTAGAAGTCGTTAGAAATCAATAGGATTCTTCGTCTGATGACCTTAAACACTGTGTATAAAGTCAATCGGATATTAACAGTGGTTCTCAACCTTTTTTTGCCAACTACACACCTTGGAACACATAAAAAAAAATAATAGCGGAACACCTGGCTAAATAAATAAAAAAAATATTTGAATTTTGCAAAATAAAAACATGGTAAGTCCGACGGAATACAACCGTAGACAGAGACTAGTCATAAACACATAGAATGTCTCAAACTAAATAAAGAGAAACACAGCTATAAACTTATCAGTAGACACCAGTGAATGCTTAATTGGGATCACATGGTTTTTCACATTTTCTTAGTGTGCTGTTCAAAATATCGCCGCACTCAGGTTGAGAATCACTGCTCTAGAGCGTCGTCTACAAGATTTTTCAAAGTGATCAAGGGCCATAACAATTGCAGTAATTATCGGAAATCGTTGAAAATCAATAGGCTTCTTCATCTGATGAAGGATATTAACTTTAGCCTCTAGAGCGTCCATAAGCAATTGTGGATGCCGGATGGGGGTAAACGACAATATACAACCACATTTCAATGTGGGCGTACAAAAATGCAATTTGGTGACTATTGCGCATAACCAATTGATATTCAACAAAGCCTTCTGTCACTGTATCATCTACAATAATCACAGTACTACCATATATGTGACATTTTCACAAAATTCATGTGCAGACTGATTACTGGAGAACACTCTGGTAATAATACAAGTCACAGTTTTAGAAAAGATTTGTATCACTGTACAGTGATGATGGTACAAACCTGTATTTAACATTATTAAAGAGACCTGCTGCAAAAGTTTTAAGTCTTTTAGTGTAAATATCATGTCCTATTTTTTGATCCATTGGTAATACATCTAATGAAACACATGTATTCTGTTGTTTGTTCAGTTTATTCGACTTTTTACAACCTTGTCTACCATCTCCTTTACCTGTACAAAGATATGAACATTTGAATTTCAAACAGAACTGGGATAACAATTATAGCATGTTTTCAATGCTCCCTCTGGGAATACATTCATCAAAATATAGATGTTCAAGCAAGTGTATTTCACATTTACAAAAAAAACATGTGTCTCAATACTTATCCTGGTAGTAGCCTTCTTGGTAAGTTGTAGACATGCAATCTCTTGACTTACAAATGAAAGGAATTATGCAAAATTAATGTCTAAATGGAGGAATTTTCTCATCTTGAACATGCCTTCTAGAGAACAGTGTGAAGCCATGTGTCTTGACAAACAAGAGCATCGCTATCGCTGCAATTATACGTCCACATTATACGTTCATTAGGGTATAATGAATTTAAAGTATACCAAGTTCCAAGATAATCCTTTCAGAATTTTGACCTTCGGGCGCTAAACACAAAAAATAGGGTGGGTGTGCCCCTGGGTTTGGGACATTCACCAAAATTAATAGTGCCTCCGTTAGGCTATAACGAATACATATGCCAATTTTGAAGATGATCCATTCAAAATTGTGGCCAGTATACTAAAACAGAAAAATTTGGCGTGACTCTGCCCCTAGGAGTCGGAACATGCATCAAAATCAATAGTTGCTGTCTTTAGGCTATAAGAAATACTTAATATCAAGTTCCATTAAAAATTGTGGCTTGTTGGCTACACACAAGAAAAAATGGGTGTGGCTCAGCCCCTGGGGGTCAGGCATTCACCAAAAATGAAATGAAATGGGGTTTAACGTCCTACTGTTCTGCTCCAACTGGGCTAATGAAGACAGGCATACGCCATACAGTGTGGTTTGAGGGAAATTTTGCCCGGACAGTGGCACTATGACCTACTCTTATATCGAATTCAAACTACTAAGGGATCTTTTAAGTGCATGCCAATGTATACATGGGGCCTCGGTTTTTCATTCAAATCGAACGACCAGCCAGCTATCCTTGTCAGGCCCTCTGTCCTGTACCACTGTCAAGTTTAAATCACGTCGGAAAATGCTTAATTGGGATCACATGGTTTTGATATTATTAGAGTTTTGAGTACTTTAAAAGTTAAAGGCTACAAAAATGTATACCGTACATATTTTGTGTAAATAATTTTATTTTTGTCTCACCAGTTTATGCATTAATTATATATAACCTTGGTCTACATTTACAATACTCAATAGGTCTACTTAAAGAGAAAAAAAAAAACAGTTTAAAAAGATTGTTCATAATCATAGGAACCGGAATCACATTTTTCTCTTCGATGAAAAATAGGGCTGCACATATCATCTCAAGACTTCAAAAGGTGTTGGAGGGGTCATCGTATTCCGCTGGCAATTTTATTCTACCACAGACACGGGAGTCGCGGTTTAATTTAGGACACAATTTCATGGAATATCAATAGCCTCAATAGACCTAATAATACAGACAGGTACGTGACCGGAAGTGAAATGAAATGAAATGGGGTTTAACGTCCTACTGTTCTGCGCCTAACCTTGGCTAATGAAGACGGGCATACGCCATACAGTGTGCTATGAGGGAAATTTTGCCCGGGCAGCGGCACTATCGCCTACTCTTATATCGAATTCCAACTGCCAAGGGATCTTTTACGTGCATTCCAATGTATAAACGGGACCTCGGTTTTTCGTCTCATCTGAAGGACTAGACAGCTGTCCTTGTCAGGCCCTCCGTCCTGCATCACTGACAAGGGGGAACCACGCCGGAAAACGTGACCGGAAGACAGTGAAAATTGTTGAATTAGAAACGTGCTTAGGCTTCGAATCCTATCTAATAGACATATCCATAAATAATATCGCCTTCGTTTCAAATGAACGAATATAACTTGTAATTGTATTTGTATGAACTAGCCTATGAATTCCAGCACAATGTCAAATGGGAAAAAATATTAGAACCTGATAGCGCCATTTTGTTTGACACGGTGTGTCAAATCAAATTTTTTTCGAGAGAATCTTTTGCTGTTGATCTAATTTCAAAATGGTGACACGGAAACCAATTTCAATTTAAACCGAAGAGTGGTGTTTTGTGTATCTAAATTGGCAATAATTCCTTTCCGTTTTAAAAATATGTCGACTGTCTAAGTTCAAAAATTAGATTATGTTGGTTGAAAACAGAGTTCCCTCCCTTACACCCCAATGTTACCCTAACACACAAAACATTTTATTATGCCTTATGAGCTATCTATAGCTATCATATTTCTCTATAATACTTCCTCACTGTTCATATTTTGGAGTCAGGTTTCATAACCTTGGTTTGTCGTTTTCAATCTTAGAAAAAAAAAGTGAAAAAAAAAACCCCAAAAACAAACCACATAAATATTTTTGATCAATGGGAGATAACTCTACCCCACCCCTCCCTCTTTTCCGCTTCGCTTCCTGAACGTTGGTAACTTCCGTCCTTGACTTACAGGAGAGTGCACAATACTGGATCTTCAATGAGTTACTTTCTATTTTTCACTCGGCAACCGGCTGCAGATTTCACTCGGCCAACTTCGGTTACTCCTCTACACCAAACCATGTTTCCAAACAGAGTTATCTTTCCGTGACCCGCAAATTATATTTTTAACAATGAGTTGAATTCTATAGGAGGTGTTGGAACTCCCGCAAACAGTGCCGGTGGTGCAAGTAAGTTATAAAAATAAATACAACTGACAAAAGGTTAAGGACCACCTTAAAGTAAAACAAGACAGGAATATTTGGTCATTTAAGTAATAGATATTTTTTAATTGAGGATTTCGAAAAATATAGGAGTCCATTAGATGATCTGGTCAGGAAAAGGATGAGGATTACAGACAAGAGTAGTGATAACCATCGTCATGTGTATCCCTCTCTCACTTGGAGAGAGAGAGAGAAATGGGGTTTAACGTCCACTCGACTAACATATGGTTCAATTTTATTTCCATAATTCGCTTGCGCGTAGGGATCTTTAGCTGTGGGAGGAAACCGGAGGACCCGGAGGAAACCCACGAGGTTGGACAGTCGACCCTACTCCTTGTCACGTACAACCGGGGATTCGAAACCACGCCAGTTGACTCAATGACAGACTTTATGATACAGCGCGCGCACGCTAACCATTCAGCCATCCAACCCCCCCCCCTCTCTCACTTGGATCACGTCCTCAACACCTCTTGTTTGATTAGTACCATGGTACCAAAGGAACCTGACACTATTCTTCTTGGAGTGGCAAGACTTATGCTGGAAGTATTTTGTGATGGATATTACATGGTTCCAAATAAAAACCATCTGAGTTTATTGTTGATGGTTAAATATCAAACAGACCTCATTTTAAACGGTGGTGCTTATCTTTTTGACACACATAATTTTTACCGTACTACTGCTCAAAAGCTTTTAATTTTGTTTTAAAATTCTGTTAATTCGTTGATAAATCACGTTATTCTATTCTCTAGTCATGGTAGTCAGTTAAACTTGAAACCTGTATGTTTAAGTTGTAACCACTGTAAAAAGGATGGCTGTAGAAGAATCATGTTCGTTCTGAATCTAAATGTAAAACCTATTCCCCCCCCCCTCCCCAGCCGCTGATCAACAGAAATGAGCAAAGTGAACCTGGGCACTAAACAATATTCAGAATACAAGTTATTTAGAAGTTTATTTTGTTTGTGGCTTGATAAATACAAGAGAACACTTTTCAAGACGTCGTCAGAAATGAACTGTGAAAAAACTTGTATTTAATACACCGGTATATTAGTCATGGTTTATTCAATACAGTTACTAAATGCAGCTTTAACAAACTACATTTTTTAATGGTTTATTTACAGAGAAGAAATGGGAAACATTACCAGACTGCCAGACACGCCCCATTGATAACAAAGGTCTGCCTGCTGCCGCTGTACACAAAACACCCAACCCAGAACCAATCGATGCCACAAAATTGCCGCTAGCAGAAAAAATTCGACGACTTTCAATGTTTTTACGAAGTGAAAAAAAAGTAATCAATGAAATTATGGTGAGGTTTTATTTATTAAAGATACATTATGGGAGATGGAGATAAGATAACGAGTTAGCAGTTCTCACTATAATAGTTAAAAACTACATAATGTAAAGGGAATTTGCTAAAAATGTCAGTCAAATTGGTCCACTATGAACCGAAAACTAAGTGGATGAAAGTTTCGCCTAGCCTCGAAACTAATAGTCTCGATTGTCTATTGTTGTGATTTAAGTATCAATGAGCGATAGCATCATATAGAATTGTAATCCAGTCGACATCGAAGGCTAGCCTTGACATCGGGAGTTTATTATGGTCTGGATAAGTTAATTAATGTCTAATTAATAATTTAGATAAGATTTCAGGCCTAAAGAAAGACCTGAAATTGACAGGTTTAGCTCTTGCATAATGCATGTTTAATATTTTTCACAATAATCTCATTAAAAACACAGATTCTGCTTTATTTTTATTTTTATTTTTATTCAAGCATGTATTACGTATAAAATTCTTTTATTTGCCCATCTACATAAGACCAGTTGGGCGAGTTTGGGTGGTCGAAGCGTTAATGCGTCATTACCCGCTTGTACGTGACAAGGAGTAGGGTCGTCTGTTCAACCTCGTGCGTTTTCTCCATGTCCTCAGGGTTTCCTTCCACTGCTAAAGACCCCTAATGAAATAAAATGAACTATATGTTAGTCCCGAAATGACCTAGTGTCGAGTGAACAATAAAGCCCATTTTCCTCTCTTTCCCATTAAATCCTATTTTATTTCATTTTAGTTGTTTGAGAATTCTCTGATGAGTTGTAAAGTTGGAATTAGACCAGATTTTTTGATGTGGTGTGTTCCTAGCCAGAGCTATCGGCATCAACAAGAAAGAAATCAAACTGTCATGTTTCAAGAAGGCGGTGGAACTTTATCGTACCCTTCCTGTCACTGAAATTTTGAACCAGAATGATATGACCCCAAAAGTTATCAAGGAGAAACTGGAGAATTTTAACTCGACCGTTGCTAAGATGGAGAAAGAAACAATTGCAGAGTTACCCCCACCATCTATTTTGAAACAGATCCAAGATATTCTAACCAATCCTAAATATGCTTCAACCAATTCAGTCAGCAAAATGGAGTTGGCGGCCTCTGTGGCTAAATGTCGAGTCCGTTGTCGATATGATGTAGAGAGTTGTAAAGCTGAATCAGGGAAAGTTTATCATAAGGGAATGTACTTTATTGACAACATACTACAAGGTGCAGGTGTTTCAGTTTCCAAAAAAACTGCTAAGTCATTGTGTTATAATATGGTGGTTGAACGACTGACCACCATGAATGTTGAACATGGCAACATCTTAGATGGTGTCGAACAGTCTGTCATAACAGAAGCAGAAGCACAGGTTCAGAGCACTTTGGTAAAGGCAGCACCAAATCCTAGGGCATTTGATCTCCGTGAACAGTTTGTCAAAATGAACGAACTTAGCAGTGCCACGCATCCTGCATCCATCATTACTGTCTTGGATGGAATTTTCAACGATGTAAAATTGACGCCCATTTGTCTGTACCGTCGTAGCATGAACACAGAAATAGAAAAGGAGAAAATTTTCTGTAACCTCTATCTAGCTGGTCATCTCATCATGATTGGTGAAGCAGAGAACCGAACAGATGCCCAAGCAGACGCTTACTCTAAAGCCCGATAAGTTTCACGAACTGTGACCCCGAGTTCATCCTCCCCCAACACAGTAAACTTCAACCACACGACCAAGCAGCAACAGATGTTATCGACTTTCGTGTCAAGGGCAACTGCATTTTGGAAGATAACTGTTCGAATCTTCATCGCTTACAATGGACCCGAAAACCTATATCAACACTACCAGCCAAGGATATCGTTGTCTTTGAGGACGTCAGTTGGATAGTAGATCGTAAAGTTCAAGGTTTCTATATTTTACAACATTCATGTTTTGTCAACAATATGTTGTTGGAATGGGAGTTTTTTGACAATGATGATCGTGTATTCAGGTAAGTTGCCTTAAGGCCTAGTCTGGTCTCCCGGCCATAATCTTAAGGCCTAGTCTTGTGTCTTCCGGTCTCAACTGTAAGGCTTAGTCTTGTATCTTCTGGCCTCAACTGTAAGGCCTAGTCTTGTGTCTCTTAAGACCTAGTCTTGAATCTCTTAAGACCTACTGTAGTCTTGCGTCTTCCGGCCTTAACTGTAAGACCTAGGCTCTGTTTCCTGGCCTTAGCCTTCAAGCCAGAATTTCATATTTTCTATGAAAGTCAAAACATAATTATTTCTATGTCTTTTGCTCAATAGGTTATCAACTCACTATTATACGACTATGGTCATTATTTCCCACCCTTAAAAATCATTGACACAGGAAATAATAACACAATTACCTCCCTTGTTTTCCTATTGCCTCCATGCATTAGCTATCTTCAAATGTTGGAATTCGAAAATGATAATTTTGCCAATTTCGCAGCTGGCAATAGTGAATTATAGGATTAATAGGATTATTCTTTAACAAGGTAGGACTGTGTATGGATACCATCTATTTTAAGGCTTTATTTTAATAAATTTTAAAAATATAACTTAACAAATATGAAATTGTAGCTTTAAGATCTAGTCTTGTCCCATTGATCAAAATTTTGAAATGTTCAGTTTGCTTGTTACTCTTCTTTTGTTTTTAGGGGTGGTTGAGTGGTCCAAGCTCATAAGATCTTTCATTGAGTCAAACCTCCTGGGTGTCAGTCCAAAAATGTTGGTTTGTTTTGTGTGAGTGTTAATCCCCATTTCTCTCTTTTTTTACTTTAAGATGTCAGATGAAGATACAGAAGGAAGATGTTGGAACCGAACCTGCAGTGTCTCTTAGTAAGACAGGCTCTAGAAATTTTGCAGCAGCTGATATCTTGTTTAAGCTCTACGAAACACAACCAGTCATAGAGGTAAGTTATTCTATTGAATACTTGAATTAGCTTTAGGGCTATGGATTCCTGAGCTAAATAGGGCCTACATTATATAAAGATAGGTTGCCAGGCAACTAAACATACGCCCACAGCAGCTAAATCGTCCGAGCGGTCGACAAGAGTTGTCGTATATTTGTTCTTTTGTAGGTAATTAGGGGGCATTTAATAGACAACTTCATACAGATGACATTATAATTTTCGTCGTTTGAGGGTTCACAAGGTTCTAAAAACTAAAACAAGGGCTGT